CATGGAGCGGAGCTGCCAATCGCGGACTTAATGTGAAACCAGAATGAGACGCAAGCTATGGTCGAATTTATTCAACATATCTGGGCAAACAAGTTACACTAATTTATCGACATTGAGTCCAACTAAATAACAACTCCACGACCACAGAGCTACATATATTTTTCAACCACTTGGAATCTGGTTTCTGTGAATAAAATAAGAAAGGTTTCTGTATAGAACCCAAATCAGAAATATCCCATGGCTAGCCATCTTCCCACCAGACTTCGGTGAGCCAAGCATTGTCACCTGGCCGTCCTCCTGAGCAGATGCTGCTGGGATCGCATGTGGCAGTGATCCCTCCCTCTGTGTGTGTGTGTGGGGGGGCACGGGGCTCCCCACCAGCTCTCCGTGGGCTTATTGAACCAGCACTCCCCTGGGCCAGCACGGGCTGTGCACTGTGCAAACGCTGACCATGGGAGACAATGTGGCTCTTGAAAATGTAAAGTGACATCTGCTAGAGGGGTAATCCTCAGGGCCTGGGCCAAACCACACATTTTTTACACATGCATCTTGCTCTGCTAATAATCTGCAGTTTTACTCAAGAACTGCAGTAAGTAGACAGAAACCATGCCTACGCCCCCTCCCTCTCTCAGCCGGCCTTTCCTTCCGCTACTTCTGCAGTGAAGTGATATGGCTGCCTTCGTTGCATCTGGGCTGCAGTGGAAGTGGCAGGCGGGGCACGCTGCAGCCTTGGCAGGCTGGTGACAGAGACCATTTTGCGCCTGGGGGGTCCTAGCCCCACCTACCCAATGTTAGGCCTTTAAGTGTGCCAAGTGCTTCTGACAGTCCTAGCCCACATGGTTCCAAATGTATTAAAACACATCCTCATCCCAATTTAAATCTGTTGCTGCAAAAAATTTTTGAGAAGATATTTATAATCTGGCTTTTGAGATTAACTGGCTATAAATAAGCTTTCCACTTATTACTGGCAATGATTTCATGGCAACCTTGGCATATGTGAGGCTCTAACCTACTGACTGTCTTTACGGTGCACGCAAGCGTGTGGACACTAAACCAGCAAGAGATGAAGTCAGCAGAGTCGCTCCGTGCAGACTTTTAATTAAGCCTTTGTTTTTACTTCGTAGCTTGCTTGTAGCATTTTGTGGGTAATAATTTCCCACCACAGGCATTTGGCCTCCTACATTCACTGGTTAGTGGATCAAACCATTTAACCTTGTCCTTGAGCAAATGTTTGCGGTGGGGCCCACAACTCAGTCTCATATTCTGCATGTAAGAATCGAGGCCACTACTATCTCCATTTTACAGACGAGGACTCTGAGGCCCTGAAAGTTTAGGGAACACAGGTGCGTGACAAGACTGGACCTGAAACCCAGGGCGTTTAGTGCTGGAGTCCAAGGTCTCAACCGCGTCCTCCTACTGCCTCTAGGTGAGACAGCTCCCCCTGCCCCAGGAGACGGCCAAAGTTAATGTAAAACGACACAATGACCATTCATCTCAGAATATGCTTGGTCACTAGTGTCATTTCCTGCAGACGGTTGACTAAATTCAGCAGCTGAGACGATGCCCGGGCATGACCCACCGCCAGGCTGCAGCTCCCCCTAAGACAGCTGTCCAGCCGGCCCCGTGGTCTGGGATGAAGAAAGCCAGTCCCCAGAGACACCGTGGCGAGCACGTGCCGGACACAGACAGGCATAGCGCGGCCCCCGCAAGGGTCCGAAGGAGGCCATGCCCTAGACCTGGGGGAGGCGAGGAGAGCGATGGCAGCAGGGTGGCTGTTACCAGGGGAGCCAGCGACAGGGCAGGCAGGAGACGGGAAGCCACAAAGTGGCGAGTTGGCCTGAGACTCATGTTCTGGAATCATCGCCTGGGCTGCAGGGCGGGAGCAGGTGCAGGGACAGAAGAGGCCAGGAGGCCGCGGTGGTGGCAATAGGGAGCACCGAGCTGGCCCAGGGCCAGGTCCCGGGAAGGAGGAGGGGACCGGCGCAGTGGCGAGGGCTGGCGGAGGATGCAGGGAGGAGAG